GGAGAAAGAATCAACTGTAATCCACTGAAACAGTGTACGGAAACACAGAAACAGAATACTGAAGTAGTGTAGCTGCCGGAATCTACTGCAGCTGTCGGAATAGTATTGTGGCTGTCGGAATAGTACTGTAGCTGCCGGAAAAAACTCAAAGTTGTCGGAATGAAATGAAAACAGTAAGGGTAGAATCGGAATTACCAGGCGACCCAACTATTCTGAAGGAAGATTTTCAAAAAATGGCCGGAAGTGGTCGTATGCGCCGGCGCGTGAGCTTCTGGTGGCGCGTGAGGAGGCTGCTGCCGGAGTTTTTCACTGGGATTTGGTCGCCGGACAATGACGACTCTTGTGGTAGTGTTGGATTTTGCACAACACTGACAGAAATGAAGCAGATAGAAAACAGACTTAAAAAAGTACTGATTTCTCTTTCCCAGAATCGCTGGAATTTATGCACAGCGATTTCTCTTTCCCGGAATTGCTGGAATTTATGCACAGCGATAAGTCTCTCACAATTGCTCTGATACCATGTGAGAAGACACGGGAGAAAATATGTTATTGATATTAGATGAAGAATACAATACAAGAGGTCCTTATTTATAGCTATACTATACAAGGACATACTACTCTTCTACCAATGTGGGACTATATACATGCTGTAAACTAACAGAACCTATGAAGGAATAACTGAGAATTCGAAAAGCCAATAATATGAAAAGCAGCTCGGAAAGGAGAAATAAGGAACCTTAGCAACAAGTATTCTCAGAGTGGAAAAAGCTTCTATCCGAAGGCTTGCGCTGCCTTGCTGCCCCCGTGCTGCCTCAGCATCTGCTGCCTGAGAAAGCCATAAATACTCTCAAAAGTAATACTAGAGAAATACTATGAAGAATGGCTAAGGAAATATATTTTCCTCGAGGTGACTAAATTTATACCTTCAGCAGAAGTGAGAGCCAATTTCCAACAGCAACTGAAGCAGTTTCAGACTGTAGAAATGCAACTAAACACTCTTCATCCTTGAATTTAAGTTTTGAGACAGGTGGAGAGTGCAAATTTTTTCTTTCCAGAAGCAAAGGCCAACCACTGATTTGTTTGCATGAGCAGGACTCACTGGAACAACAACGCAGATTAACCAACAGTTCTTTGAAACACCTTATCACTCCTTCACGGAACTCTTCTGAAGCCTCCAGAGGAGAAAGCGACGCCCCGCGACTCAATTTCTTTGTTAGTTCAATGAACTGCAAAAGCAAATTATGGATTCTTGAGAACAGTACCAATCAAACGTCAACAGCTATATTTAATTCTGCACAGGTAGGTTATCAAACCCAAGTGTTAAAATCTTAGACAAAAGAGATTGTGAACCCTCAACATAGTTCATCCACTACTGGTACTTCTCGAAAGAAGATAAAAGTTTATCTACTATTGGTAGTGCGAATTTCAAATTGACGTTATAACCAAAGGTTTGTCAAGCTTAGAAATAATGCTAAAAGCATGGCCTGTCATGAAAGGTAACAAAAATTTTCTTCAATTATCACTAATCATAGGAAATGCAGCTACTGCACTTAAACAGAAAGTCTAACTACCTGATCCACGGACCCTAAACAACACTTCTTCAGAAGTTCCTCTAGACAATGAAGAGCATCTTCCATCACGATATCACTAACTGTATGTGGCGTCACGTTAGAATCAATGCCGGGTGATGATCTGCTATCAACAGCGGCGTCCAGTAGAAGCAGCAATGGTAACAATGTGAAGCTGAAAAAAAAAATCAAACAGAAATCTGCCTGTCACTGAATTAAAAGACTAAAAATGAAAGAGAAAATACATATCAAACAACAAAAGCAAATTTATACAGAGCCTGTCACTCATGCATTCTTACAAGCAGACCAAGAGTTATAAGTTTTGTGCTCTGACAGTATATATGCGTTTTAAACTATCAAGTAAAATTGACCAATAACAATAGGTAACTCAGTATGGTACCCTGGAAAATAGAGTGATAACCTGATATAATCAGTTAAATTGAACTAATAGTGTAAGAATTCTTTATATTTTCACGATATAAAACTTAAATCCAAAAAAGTTAACTTAGATAGCAAAAGTTAAGGATTGATATAGCAGGGGGAAAAAAGTTGATTAAATAGAAAGGAACATACTCGAAGAAGGGCTGGAGAGAAACAGGAGAGGAGAGGCGAAGAAGTTGAAGCAGATGAGAGAGAGTGGAGGAGTTTTTCTTAGGGTTTAGGCGGAGTTCCAGTAGTTCTATGCAGTAGTGTTTGAGTTCAGAAAATATGGCGCTGCTTCCACCTTCTTCGTCGTCATTACGTCCTTCCATTTTCTTTTTACCAATACCAATTGCAGCAAACACACCGGTTTACATGGTAGTATATACTTTGGTCAAATAAAGGGTCGGAGCGGGTCGGATTGTTCTTGTTTTTAAGTTTTAACGCAAACATCCGTAAGTAGTACCACAAGTTTAAGTACATTCCTCCAATATACATGTTTACAGAAACTATCCTTAAACTTTGAAATACCTGACAGGTTTAGTCCACCGTCGAAATAGCTAGAATGTAGAAGAAAATTAAAACTTAAAACAGAAAAAAGCTCATTCACTATTTTCCTTGAAATTAGTTAATTTATCCGCGGTTCACGTGCTCGTAAAAAGAGAATCAAAATATGGATAATGTTATAAAATAAAAACTGTAAAGTAAAGACAAGTATAGAGAGAAACTGATATATTATTCAAACTTCAAACTTATGTACATAATGAACTGAATTCTCCTCTATTTATAGAAGAAAGGAAGCTGCTGTGTAAGCTGCTACTGCAAGCTGCTGTGTAAGCTACTACTGCAAGCTGCTGTGTAAGCTGCTTGTAAGCTGCTGCTGCAAGCTGCTGTGTAAGCTGCTTGTAAGCTGCTACTTTAAGTTGTTGTACCACATATAGATAATCTTCTACCATGGGTAATATTTATCCATAACGGAGTACCGAAAGGATAAGCTTCTTCAGGAGGCTTATTTCCAATGGAGTACTAAATGGATAAACATATTTACGGCGGAGCCTCATATGGATAAGCTTCTTTAGGAAGCTTATTTACAACGGAGTACTAAATGAACATCCATAATATAATATATTCATAACACTCCCCCTTGGATGTTCATTAAAAGATAATGTGCCTCGTTAAAACCTTACTAGGAAAAACTCTGTGGGAAAAAATCCTAGTGAAGGAAAAATAGTACACATATTTAGTAATACGCATTGCTAGTTGCCTCATTAAAAACCTTATAAGGAAAACCATGTAGGAAAAAATCTTAATAAGGAAAAAAGAGTACATCGCGTATTTTACTCCCCCTGATGAAAACCT